ACTCTTCCAACTGAGCTACCAGTCCATTGGGACTAGATCCTAGCTCAAGCATCAATAGGCATTAGACAGTAAGCACTGTGCTTGCTACCATTTGACAGAGTCTAACCCTGGGTCTTGGGAGCTTTGGTGTGCTGTTCTCAGCTTTGTGCAGATAAAAAATCCTCACAATGGTCTGAAGCTTGGGTAGGTGTTGTTCAAGATTTGTGAGATGTCAAATGGTAGCAAGCAGGGCACTTACTGTCTAATTCCTGCTGATGTTCGAGCTAGGATCTAGTCTCAATGGACTGGCAGCTCAATTGGAAGAGTGCCACTGTACAAAACTGGAGGCCACAGGTTCAATCTCTGTCTAGTCCACTTTTCTGGCATATTTTGACATGGTCTAGGATCAGGTACAGAAAAGTGAAATTGCTGTGTTGCAGCAATAGACTGTCAAGCCCATGTGCTTGAGTGGGAGTGTCAAATGGTAGCACACATGATGCTTACCATCTAATTCCTACTGATGCTTGAGCTAGGATCTAGTTCCAATGGGCTGGTAGCTCAGTTGGGAGACTGCCACTATACTGCACTGGAGGCCACAGGTTTAATCCCTGTCTAATCCACTTTTCTGGCATATTGTGTCATGAGAGACTGGGAATTTCACACAAGGTGAGTACCTGGGATATAGCAGTACATTGCTGACCTTTATTTTCATAGATTAGTCACCTGTGACAATTCCTCCAACATGGACACCACATTAGTGGATTTTTCCCATTGTATCAGAACCCACAATGGCACAGTCTGGATGGAAGAGAAGTGCCACATTAGGTATGTTATCTATATATTACTGGAGTCTATGCTAACTTGATGCTAGATGTCAGCCACATGTGGTGATATTGCCACTTGAGCTCTGATCTCAACCTATAACAGGGCCCCTTTCTATGATCCAGAAAAAGTTGATCTTGAGGTTCCATCTGAGGATGGTCAACATGATGAGATTGGCTTGGTGAGGGCAATCACTGTCAAGGTTAATGTTATCTTCTTGTTACATTGTCATCTCTAACACTTCATCATAATCAGGCCCACTGGTTAATAAGAGGAGGTAGTTTTTCAAGGACATTCAAAGCCATCAGCCTGAACCTTGCCTGCCTTCTCAAGTCTCCCAGCTTCTTCTTGACATGCCTATAAATTGATCAGGCTGAGAAAAAGTGAAAGGTGAGGCATGTCTATAAGTGGAATGTAACTTACCAGTCTTTATAGTTTGTGGACATATTTGTTTATAAGCTGGGGCTCCAAGCAGATAAAATAGCCAAGCAAAAGAAGATAGATGAACTCAAGTTAACTGATGATGAGTGGAAGAGAGTTCAGCTATTTGCAAGCCTCTTAGCTGTGGGTTATCTTGAATCTTGTCACTTAAATTGTTAACCTCTTTATAATATGCAGACAATGCCTAACAGAGCTGTGCTTCTGACTGGGGACCTACTTTATAGCATGCTCTTCCAGCTCTTGAAGCATTGCACAAAGCTTGGAGTACACATTCAGATTCTGGGAGGTACAAGGCATTTAGAGATGGCTTAAATGCAGCTGTGGACAAGCTTGCAGAATACTACAACCACACTGCTGATTCAGATGCATACACCTTGATTGTTTGTATGCTTCTGTGGTGTCATGGTATCACTCTAATTTGACTACTATAGTGTTGGATCCTTCTCAGAAGGACTTATATTTCAAGAAGTATTGGGAAAATATTTGCCTACTAAGGTTCTCAAAAGTGCAGAGGAACTAGTAAGCCTTGGCATGAATATATACAACTTTCTAACATGTACACAGTTCAAGGAGTGCTTCATCAAGTTATATGGTGAATATGGTGGCCTAGCATCACCCAGAAGGGGGAAGGGAAGGCTTCCACAACTTCTATAGGAGCTTTCCAGTGATGAGGATGACTTATTGGAGGAGGGGAATCAGGATGTAGATCTACAGTCTCTGTGGTTGAAGGAGTTCAACCTCTATCTTTACTCTGCTACCTCTCTCCCTGATGGATGAACTATCATTCAGTGGTGGGGGGTAAGTATTTGTGTTCATTCAACTTCAGAGGACTACTTACATAATATTAGACCAATGCCCAACAGTGTCTTGCATGGGAATCCCTTGCCAGAGATTATCTCTCCATCATGGCCACATCAGTTTCAAGTGAGTATGCATTTTCTGCAGCTACATTACATAACCATCACCAAGCAGCACAACCACTTGAAAGGTGATATTGTTGAGGCTGTTCAAGGTCTTCACATGCTTTACAACCAGGATCTTATGTTTTGTGAACCTCCTCCATCTTCTACTCTGGAACTTGAAATAGAGAAGGAAGATAATATGGTTGCTCAGAATCCTCAGCTGCAGAGGACTTGAGCTGTATTTTGGAACTTTTAGATGACTCGGATGTAGAGGCTTAGTATACAAACATTACATTCAATAATATCCATCATGAAAATATAGGATTTGCTGCATTTCCTACTACCAAGCCCTGGCCTGAGGTTGGAGCAGGCCCAAGCCCTCTCAAGCCAGGTCTGATACATCACTATTCTAAGCAATCTGAATGAATTTTTTTAGCAATTTAGTAGACTGTGAACCACATTTGAAAGAGATTGCCAATTTGGGGCAGGATTACTACCCATTCCCATACCTATTGCAATGGCAATGACAATATTTCATAACCAGCATTTATTGCAATGGAAAAAACAAATTTCTGACATCAAATTCTGATTGTTTCATACAGCTGACCTGTTTGGTGCCCACCCACCCATCACATCAGGGAAATGGTGAAGAAAAGATAACCCATTATATGGCCATGATGCTGATGGCATTGGATTATAATGTCAGATATACCATTATAATCCAATGTCATCAGTATCATGACCATATAATGGATTATCTTTTCTTCACCATTTCCCTGATGGCCACAGCTGACCTTGACCCTCAGTTTTGGGCACAGTTTTGGGCCAGAAAACCCTTCAGGTTTTTCACCCAACCTTTGCTCTTAGTTCACTATCATTCCTTTCTGTGATTTAATAGCACATTTTGCTGCAAATTATTGACTGTTAACCCTTTAAGCTACACTGAGTATCACTAATCATAGACAGGAGATCAGGAATAAATTGAGGAACATAAAGGCTGTGTAATAGGGAGTTAAGTGATGTAGGATAAGGATATAAATATCCCTGGAAGCTTGGGAGTGATAGTAGGACTTGGTAGAATGATGGGATAACATTCCAAACAGATTCCAGAGCTCACTGTACTTTGTCAGACTCTTGAACAGTTATGCAGCTTTTTCGTGTTTCAAGTTTCTGAGGTTGAACATTGGATTTGGCAGCAACTTGAGTTGATTGCCGAAGTGCCACTCGGTAATTCCGGTCACCAGACAAACTTCCGAGTGCCGCGACGCGTTCTCTCGGCAAATTTCGTCATCCCATCGTCAAGTCAGCAATGCTCCTCAGTCATTTGTAATCACAGCAGATGGTGACCTCTCTTGTGAACGATATGGAATAAAAGCTAGTCGGGTCGCTGAACCTTCTCCTAACCTTCTGATTCAGACTTGTTCATAGCTCCAATTTGTGATCATGAAGAAATCCGTTTTCAATTTTATCGTCGACCAGTGGTCCACTGTTCTTCCTGTCGAGACAGCTGATCTGTCAGGGAAGACTGTCGCAGTCGTTGGGGCCAATACTGGCATCGGGTTTGAGGCTTCAAAGCACTTTTCTCGTATGAATCCTGCCAGGCTCATCATTGCTTGTCGCAGTGAGAGCAGGGGTAAAGCAGCCTTGGAAGGTACGTCATCTCGAGCTCCTGGGGTTAAATGCTACTGAGGTATTTTATCTTGACTTCAAGATATCCAAAGGGAGACTGGGTGTCAGAGCTGCGAGCTCTGGCAAGTCGACCTTGCCGATTTTGCTTCCGTGAAAAAATTTGCGGAGAGGTTCCAGCGCGAATGTCAACGACTCGACATCCTGGTTATGAACGCTGCTATTGCGCCAAGATCGTACGAAGCGACCGTTGATGGTTGGGAGTCGAGGTCGGTGAGACGTTCCGAACTCCGAACTTTGGCTGAATGATGTTTTCAGCATACAAGTTAACCACCTCTCAACGACCCTGCTATCACTCCTACTCCTGCCTCACATGATATCGACAGGGAAGAAATTTGGGACCACTTCCCGCTTGGTGATAGTCTCTAGTGATGTACACTATTGCGCTGTGATCAAGGATGAGGTCAAGGAATCATCCAATCCGATAGCGAAGCTCGGTAGCAAAGAGTACAGTACTCCTGAGTAAGCTATCACAGCACTCTCGAGCCAGCACGAGGCACTTACGAATAGTATTATGTCAAGATATATGCGGAACCGCTACAACGATACAAAACGTAAACTTGCGTCAATCCTTTTCCGTGTTTTCTGGCAACTGATTGAAACCATAGTCCTGAACGTCTTTTTCGCGCGCGCTTTGCAAGCCCAAATCCAGTCCATTACACCCCTCACCGTGAACGCTGTCAACCCTGGTTTTTGCTATTCCAACCTGAGACGCAGTTTTTACGAGCAACTGTTCACAAACATGATCATGTATGTTATGGAGAAGCTCCTAGCCTGGACGTCCGAACAGGGAAGTCGTCAACTTATATATGCTGCCGTCGCCGAACAGGACAACGAAGACCACATGAAGGGTGCCTTTGTCAGTCACGCCGAAGTCGTCGAACCCTCCGACTTCGTGTTGAGTGAAGAAGGGATGAAAATGCAGGGAACGCTTTGGGTAAGTTCTTCATGACGTGTTAGGCTTGCCCTTTCTCACTACCATTCGGCAGAAGGAGACCGTTGAAATTTTGACGAAAGAAGCTCATCAGCTGAAGTCGATTCTCCAAGAGTATCTTATTGGTTAAAGGTTATAGATAATTACGCAGTGTCAGTATCCATGTGACAGCACGACTTGGACGTTTGCGGCCGCCCATTGGGCCACACCAATTCAAAAGCCGTATCCATCCTTAACACTAGGAAGTTGTTTGCATGGAGATCTGAGCAGGGTACGAGTCAGCTTGTCTTGCTGTGGGATGTAAGGACGACGAAGGTAAGGCGAGGGCCCTTTGGAAGATTATAACAATTCCTTTCTGAGGGATGATGGAAAGAATTTTATGGGCGAGCTGTAGTTCCGCACAGTGGTTCCGACATCCCCTGACTCTGGAGAACTTCCTAGCAAGAGACGATAAGGTCGAGACCAGGAGTACCTTGCTGTTCAGTTTCGGCATTGGCAGATCGCACAGATATGTAAGCTACGAAACAGTACAAAGTGCACGGTGTGCTGTGTAGAAACCTATTCCTGGTGGTATCGACGTGCTGAGCGACCTATCAGGTCTCTCCTTCAATGTTTAGTCCGCTAGCGATTACCGCGTCTGGCGCAGACACCAGGTCCAGGTATAAACTCTGTTGGTCGTCCTTCCCGAGCGGTATACCCGGCCACCCTAAAGCTGCGCGAAACATATACAAAGCGCGACACAAGTCCACACATCAAGGACCAGCGCAGAACCCTGTTATACCAGAGGACCCAGAACCATATGCGCGAAGAAAATCATGACGTGCGGATGTGCGCA